AGCATGGAAATCCCACATCCCAGCTATGGAGTCTGTAAAGACACTTGGAGGGTTTAAAATGGACCTGGAGGATGAAAAGAGGAGCAGGAGGAGGAAGGGACGGGTAGGACACAGACAGGACAGAGCTGGGTCCTCCTCAGCAGGGCCCTGCATGCCATGACCCCACCAGGCTCTGCAGAGGCTCCACTCAGGGCATGGAGGGATCCCTGGAGTGCTGGTGTGACTGTCCCCTGTGCCATCCCCACACAGGGACAGCCTGGCCAAGAGCAGGACCCAGCCCAGGGAACGGAGCTGCAGCTCCCAGGATGGGAAGGATGGGATTGTTAGACCTCAAGGGCACATCCCAAAATCACCTCTGAGATCAAATAATCATCATAATCCCAGCATGGTTTGGATTGGAAGGGATCTTAAAGCTCATCCAGTGCCACCCCTGCCATGGACAGGGACACTTCCCACCGTCCCAGGCTGCTCCAAACCCCAGTGTCCAGCCTGGCCTTGGGCACTGCCAGGGATCCAGGGGCAGCCCCAGCTGCTCTGGGCACCCTGTGCCAGGGCCTGCCCACCCTGCCAGGGAACAATTCCTGCCCAATATCCCATCCAGCCCTGCCATTCCCTGGGTCCTGTCCCTCCATCCCTTGTCCCCAGTCCCTCTCCAGCTCTCCTGGAGCCCCTTTGGGCCCTGGACTTTGGGCTCTGAGCTCTCCCTGGAGCCTTCTCCTCTCCAGGTGAGCGTCCCCAGCTCTCCCAGCCTGGCTCCATGGCAGAGGGGCTCCAGCCCTTGGAGCAGCTCCAGCAGGTCTGAGGTCACTGAAGACAAATTAAACAAGATGTGACAAAGGCAGCATTAACGTGTGGCTCCACACTGCCCACACTGACCTTCCTCCTCCCTTGGGCAGCTCCCAGCAGCCCCACCCAGATCCAAACCTTGGCTCCAGAAGAGCCAAAGGCAGTGCTGAAGGGGTTGGTTGGAGCCCTGAGCACTTCCAGGTGGGACAGGGAACGCATCTGGGCCCAGCCTGCAGGGGGACCTGATGGTTCCAGCCAGCTCCTGAGTGGCTGAAAGGTTTTCCAGCTCCAATGCTGAGCCCAGGAGCTGCTGCAGAAGGGAAGAAAGAACTTTCCATTCAAGTCTCCAGCTGGAAGAGCCAGAGAGAGAAATGCTGTCATGTCTCAGGTGCAGAGCAGGGCTGGTTCCACCTCAGTGGTGCTGTGCAAGCAGCTGTTCCTTCCCATGGAGCATGGGGAGCTCCTCCCTCCCACGACTGCAGTGCCCTCCCTTTCTTCATCCCATAGACATGGTTTGGGTCTCCAGAGCCCCCAGCCTCGGGTCCCACCACCCCACACATCCACACAAGGCTTCTCCAGGCTGTATGTGGGTGAGAGTCCCAGGGACATGCTCACACACCCCGTGGCACACTGCGGCAACAGGGCTGGACAACTCTGGGCCATAAATCTGTCTGGCCAGGCCTGCTCCCTGCTCCACAGCCCCAAGGCCACCCCAAGGTCTTTCCAAGGCAGGATCTGCCCCTCCCTTCCAGCTGCAGCAGCTCTGTCCCTGGAGCATCCCGAGCTGGGGAGCGCAGCCCCACGGAGCGCCCGTGTGCCTGGAGGGGCAGCCCCAGGCAGCCCCCTGCCCCAGCAGGGCTCTGGGAGTAGCTGAAGCTCTCCAGCTTGCTCCCTGCTCTCCTTCACATGAGTTTTTCCCCATTTCTAACAGTGCCCAGCTGGGCCCAGCATCATCACCGGGGCTGTTCCCAAATCTCATCACAGGTTGGGTGAAGAGGAATTGCACCCTTGCCTTGCAGGAGAGGCTAATCCGGGGGGAAGGGGTGTGAGAGTGGTGGGGCCTCATTCTGGGTGGACTTCAAGAACCCCAAAATTCTGGTCAAGAGGGACCTTGTGGACATCAACAAGATGGGAAAGACAACCCCGAGTTTCAGGCAGGCTGGGGACCTGAGCAGGATCCCAGTGAAAGGAACTGGGAAAAGGTCCCGGATAAAGAGGACAGGAGGATGGACAAATGGGACAAGCTGCATCCTGAGCAGCATGAGGGGGATGTGGCCCCCAGCCTGGGTCCTCTGTGCAGCACCAGGGAACCCCAAGCTCTGTGCTCAGAGTGGTTCCCAGTCCAGGGAGGGACAGAAAGGACCAGCAGGGCTGTCAGAGAGGTGGGTTGGGATCCACCAGCATCCTGCACTGGGGACAGAGGCAGTTCCTCTCAGTAGGGCATGGCTGGCACCAAAGGACAAGGGATGTTCACTGCAGCTTCAGGCTGGGCAGTAGAATTGATATTATCTCCTGGGGAGGTGGCACAGCTGTGGGACCGAGCTGGGCAAGGCCACCCTTCCACGCTAGGTTAAGCCATGGGTGACCTTTCCCGTGCTGGTGCACAGATGGGAGGGGGGGCTGGACACCCCCAGGGGTGCACCCTGCTGTGAGGCAACCTCCAAATTCTTTCCCTTCCCACGCCAGAGCCCACTCCAAGCCCCAGGACACCCTGAGAGCCGAGGCCCTGTGCACCGGACCGTGCCCCCAGCCCAGGGCCCGCTCTGGCCCACATCCCGGGGCTGCATCAGCTGATCCTCCCGGGCAGCCGGTGCTGCAAAGTCAGGCACAGAGATTGCCGGG